AATTGGGCCTTTGGCCCACGAAAAATGGGCTGTTACATAGATGGACACGGTATATATTCCACACATATGAGGGAATTAAAATTAATAGAACTATATAATCTAAAAACCGTATGGTATGGGAATCCAGTAAGATATTATGGCCTCGAAAATCTCCAATTGGTACACATCAAAAGTTGCCCCTCTCTAATAAGTCTATTCTATTATGGTGCAACATGGAAGCTCCACCAACTAAATGAATTAAAGTTAGAGGCATGTAAGCGGATAGCACATTTAGTTTATTCTTTTAATGAAAATCAGACACTACCAGCAAAGTTCCCATCACTAGCCAAGGTAGAGTTGAAGTCTCTCTCAAGATTGGAATGTTTCTATAGTTATGGAGTAGAATTGCCAAGTCTAAAGTCCTTGACAATAGAAAAATGTCCTCAGTTGACATCATTCACAAATGGGTTTGCAACCGCAAATGCATCATCCACAATTATTGATGGGAAGTCTTTCCTTGAGCTAAATGAACTCACATTACGTAGTTCTGACAAGTTGGTGTTGTTGTGTCATCTAAGACTTTAAAAGAGTTAGGAAAATTGAAGAAACTCATTGTGAGTGATTGTATGGAATTGAAAATGTTATTCAACATTGATGGAACAATATCTCATTCAACTGAGCTCCTACAACAGTTAGTTGAATTGATCTTGAATGATCTACCTAATTTAACTCAAATCATCAACGAAGAAATTGTCGAGCTCTATCGAAACTTGAAAATCCTACAAGTTAAGAATTGTGAGCCTCTTGAATGGTTGCCCATATCTCAAGTGTTAAAAAATATGGAAATTATCGATTGCACAGCCTTGCATAAAATTATGATCATCCATGAAGAAGAAAGAAAGAGACGTAAAACCACCTTTACTCGATTGAAGGATGTTTCCCTTGTAAATCTATTAAATCTCTCTATTGCCTTTCCTATTGCAGCTAAACTTTCATCCTTAGAAACACTGAAAATAAAAAATTGACCTAGTCTGAAGACTTTTGTTGAAGATTCTAATGAGGAGAGGAGAAAGATCATCCAGAATTAGATAATTCAAACTATTTCTTTCCAAATTCAGTAAGTTTCTTCACTTTAACATTTTAGAAATAATATTCATTATCGGGAGGGTGTATGTATACATAGTTTTTTTTTATTCATCTTTGTTCCAAATCATTGAAAATTATTTTTTGTTCTTTGTAGTTGTCATTGGACAAATTGAAGGTACTTTATGTAATGAATCAACCGGTTGAGGAGCTTTGGCACTACAATTGTCCTTCTGAATCATTTTGTGAGTTGGAAAATCTTACTTTGAGAAACAACAAAAAGTTATTGAGTGTCTTCTCCCCCGCCATGATAGTAAGATTCAACAAGCTAAAAAAATTGACTTTGGAAAAATGTGAATTATTGGCCGAGGTATTTATCCTTGAAGGTGACAAACCAAATCATGATAACCAAGAAATGCTTCCTCAACTAAGGGTGTTAGCAATGAGTAACCTAAGTAATTTGACATGTTTCTGGAACAAGGAACCTCAAGTTCCATTTTTCCTTAATTTGGTTTCACTTTTCATTATTCATTGCCATTGCCTCAAAAGCTTATTCTCACTTTCTCAGGCCCAAAATCTTAAAAAACTCAAAATACTCAGATTGTGTAATTGTGAGAAAGTAGAAGAGGTAATATCTAGTGATAAAGGTGAAAAGGTGGCTACCATTTTCCCTAAAATGAAATGTCTTGTGCTCAAGGATCTTCCAAAGCTTGTCAACTTTTGTCAGGAAGGAGGATGTTTTAATTGGCCTAACTTACAAACACTGAGGGTGAACAATATTCCAAGTATGAAAACATTTTTGAGAGATGATCTTAATACACCATTGTTGAAATCAGTGTATATAACATTTTCTAAGAAAATTTGGCTTGGAAATTTGAAGAATACCATATCATATATGCACAACAATCCAGGTGTGTAAATTTTAATGTTATATGCCAAAAATTAAAAACTTGTAACATATAGTTTTACTTTTACAACTTGTTTTATATACATGATACATATCATTTTTTTTCCTAAAAGATATCTCTTGTACAAGATATATTATTAATTTAAATTGTTAGATGACAACAATTACCTTTAGATTATATTAAAATATTTTAAATTTAAAAAAAAAACTGCTAATAATATTTTAGGATTTTGTACTTTTTTATTTTACAAGGTCCTTTCAAACCTTGATTTAAAGCTACTAATTTTGATAAAAATGGTTCAGGATCCAATATAAGTTTATGTTCCTCATGCTGTGACCATTAAAATCTTATTTTGATGAGTATTGCTACTCAAGAAGACCCATTGACATGAAAGACAAAAATTTTCTAGTGGATCTTTAGTGGCATTCAGTTCAGCAAGTAAAATTATGAGTTAAATTATTGGTTTATTAACTTGATAAATTTGGTTTATCTTTTAATTTTTTTCAATATCAGGAATGACATTACAAGGAAGAATATGAAGATTACATATTAAATAGAAGAGATCCGAGGAAAGGCTTCAAAGTCACATTAATCAAGTATAAATATATACATTGCATTAGCCTTTTAGATGTAATACTATTTGTACTTTGTGTATAAAAAATTATAATTCATACTTGTCTTTAAAAGCAATGTAATTCATACATACATAAATATTTTTAGGATAAAATAAGCTTTTACATGTTTAGATACATACATAATTGATTTTTGGTTTAAAGGTGAATGGTCATAAAATTCAATTGGTAGGGGTGAATGTTGTTAATGAATGGTTAATGGATGCGACGGTTATTTTGAATTGTAAGGTTGGATTCCTACCTTTCGAATAATTGGGGTTACCGATTGGGGCTAATCTAAGAAAGAAAGAAGTGGAAATCAATAGTGGAATTGGTGGGAAATAGATTAATGTTTTGGGAAGGAAAACACATTTCAACATGTGGAAGGGTGTTTTTAATCAAATTAGTCTTTTCATCTCTTCTGATCTACTTCCTTTCTTTTTTCCAAGCTTTGAAAGATATTATTTCTAAACTTGAATCTCTGTTTAAATTTTTTTTGTGAGGTGGGAATGCAGAAAAATATAAAGTTCATTGGGTAGCGTGGGAAAAGGTGCATGTGTATAGCGAAGGATGAAAAAGGTTTGGGAATAATAAATCTTAAAGCTTTTAATTTGTCATTGTTAGGAAAATGGCATTGAAGGATGAAAATTGAGAGAAAAGAGTTGTGGTATAGGGTGCTTAGAGGAAAATATGCTAATGGAATAGAAGGATGGGTGAGTAGTAATAGGAGTTGCTCAAATTGGTGGAACAATATGTGACACCCTCTACCCCAACATACATATACAATCATTTTAAAAAAATGTTTTAATTAAAATCTTTCATAAATAAAACCAAATTCTCAAATATCTTACGTAGAGGATTCACATTCATAAACTCATAAAGAATATCTTCAACATAGAAATTACAAAGAAATAAAATTGAGTTTTCAAATAGTTTAATAGAAATAGCATCCTAAACTAAGCCTAGCTATGCCCCGATGTCACATATCCTATCAGAGCATCCCAACTGAAGCCTAAACCTCATCACCAACATCCTTATGCTGATGATCAACTGTAACACAATTTAAACACAGACAAATAACAACAAGGGAGTGAGAAACATCTCACTCAGGTTCAGGTGCAGAAACAAAGGTTAGATAGCACACACACACAACAAACATATTACAAGTCATAAACACCAATCACATATAAACAATACACATATATAATCAGTATTACATGTATACTCATTTATCATGCAATGATGTCATGGACTCAACTCATAAATGCATGTGGCGCCAGTCACATGTCTCATCACATATCTCATCATTTCATCATTGGTGACCCAAGGTACACCTTGTTAGCCTGTTACATCACCGGTGACCCTAAAGTACACCTTGTTAGCCTGTTACATCACCAGTGACCCTAAGGTACACCTTGTTAGCTTGTTACATCACCAGTGCCCCTAAGGTACACCTTGTTAGCTTGTTACATCACTAGTACCCCTCGGGTACACCTTGTTAGCTCATACATGCAAATGATGCATGTCATTCAAGATCCTATTCATTCTCATATTACATTATCATGTCTCATCCTCATATAATATCATCATGTCTCATCCTCATGTCTCGTCATCATGTCTCATCACCATGTTACATCATCATAGCACATCATCATAACATATTCACAATTTTCACAGTAGCACATTTCATTCGCATCATGTCTCATCATCATGTGTTCATATTTCACATAGTCATTCTTATAATTATTCCTTTTAGTGTTTCGCACAGAACCCACAGAGCACTCTAATTCATATCAAAACTTATCTAATTTTGAAATTGAATACATATTTACACTCTGCATCACAATAGGAACGCAACAGAACATTCAAAAAACAAAATAGAAAACATTCATATTTTGCCTGTTTTCTCATAGGGTTTCCCGTAGGAACCCATAGAACATTCTAATTCATATCAAAACATCTTTATTTTCAAAGTTAATCACATACTCATACATGACATCCAACAAGGAACACAACTGAATAATCAGAAGGCAAAACAAAAAACATTCATATTTTGCCCGTTTTCTCATAGGGTTTCCGTAGGAACCCACAGAGCACTCTAATTCATACAAAAACATATTCATTTTCAAAATTAACCACATACTCATGAATCACATCCAACAAGGAACACAACAAAGTAATCAGAAGGCAAAACAAAAATATTCATATTTTGCATGTTCCTAGAAGCATGCATCAAGCAAGGGATTGGGGGCCAATCCGACTACCCAACAATTATTCCCACACCCCGAGCGAGATTTCTCACTCCCCCTTTACCTGGATGAGCAGAAGACGAATGGTCTTGGTGTGATCTAAGATCGTTCCTGAGTACTCTTCCTTAGAGCTCTTTGTTTCTCCTCTTTTTTTCCAAACCCTTCAGAAAGCAAATGAGGCAGATATGGTTAACGCTACCTGACTCCTTTCTTAAAATTAATCCATTGGGCTGGGTACCCAACCCATTTTCTTTCTCTTCTAACCCACTTCTCTTTTTCCTCAAAATAATTAAATAAAATAAATACATGTATATTATAAAATATTTTTCCTGTATAATAATAATATATTTCTGACCCAGAATATAATAATATAATTTCAATAACAAAATAATATATAAAATCAACCTTCTCTTAAAACATATAAATATTTATTTAAAAATGTTAATAAAAATATTTATTTAATACGTACAAAATAATTTTCCAAAACAATAATTATTTGAAACGTACAAAATAATATTCCTATATAATTATTAAAGTAATTATGACCAAATACCATATAATAATAATAATAATAATAACCTTTTTGAAAATTGGGGTGTTACACAATATCAATATAATGAAAGACAATTCAAATTTTCACTACTAGAATTTCTCTTATTGCATGCGACTTTTCCTGTAAATTTTTCATAAAAATTTGCAAGAAATGTTGTTCTTGCAAATTTTTCTGCGAAATTTTTTCTGTCGATAATACCTTTGTGAATAATATATTTTTTCAAATTTTAAAATTCGTAGAAAATTTTCCTGCGAAATTTCTTGCGAAAAAATTCACAAGAAAGTTTCTTGCAAAAAAAAATTTGCAGGAAAGTTTCCTGCAAAAAAAATTTCACAGGAAAATTCGTAGGGAAGTTTCCTGCAAATTCTTTTGCAAGAAATTTTGCAGGAATATTTTTTATGAAAAAAATTAAAGAAATTACTATAAATTCTATCAATAATTTTTCAACTTTCGAATGCTCACAATATAAATTCATCCGAAGCATTTATTTCCATGCCTCCAACAAGTGATACATAATCTTTTAAATTCTAAGATTGTAGATTAGAAGCTTAACACTCGACCATACAAATCAACTTGTAAGATAAGTGTTGTCCCAACTTATATGCTCTTTAATTTGGGTATTTTTAATCTAGTTTGTACTTTAAGTTTTTTTAAAAGATTAAACTTATAAATTTAATTTTTTTTATTTTTCTTGCAGATTAAAATTTGCAGGAAAATCCGCAAGAAAAGTTACCTGCAAAATTTTTTTACCATTTAGTAAACATTACATGCGAATTTATTTTTGTAAGAAAATCTGTAAGAAACAAAAAAAAAATCTTGCAATATTTTTTGTAAATTTTTACCATGGAAAAATATCTCTATGATTATTAAAATTGTAGCAAAATTTGTAAGAAATATCTGTAAATTATTTTTCACAAATAAATTCGCAAAAAAAAATTACGAATATTTTTTTGCAAGAAAATTCGCAAAATATTTCTGCGAATATTTTTTTGTAGGAAAATTCGCAAGAAAATGACACTTTTCTAGTAGTGTTTCAAGAGAAGTGATTTTCAAGGTCGATGTATAAGAGGGTGAATTTGAGTAATAAAAATATGTTTTAACATGATCCATGGATGAAGGCTGGAGTTCTAAAAGATAGATTTCAAAGAGTATATAATGTAGTTTGAGATAAGGGGATGAAGGTGGGAGATGCATGTAAGTGGTTTGAGGGGAGGTGGGAGGATACTTGGGAGTAGAGGAGGTCATTGTTTGAATGGGAAAAGGAGTCCTTGTTAGAGTTGGAAGAGGTGTTGAGAAATGTAAGGAGGGTGAGGATGATTGTTGGGTTTAAAGACATGAAAAATAGGGATAATTTTGTGTCAAATTGACATATAACACAATTATGACTAATAAGAGGGGAAATACAAACACTAGTGAAAAAAGGACTTTTAAAATTGATAATCTTTTACTTGTAAAATTGATTTTTTGTAGGATTTTAAAGAGCCAATTTGGTAAGTCTTGCCTTTTAAAATTGGTCGTCAATCGATTTTAAAAGTGGGCAAGTTTAAGGCTTAGGGTTTTCAAAATCAATTATCAAATAATCAATTTTAAAAGTAAATTTTTAATATTGATTATTTGATAACTGATTTTATAAGTCTTGACTTTTAAAATCATTTATGAAACAACTAATTTTAAAAATGACATTTTTCAAATAATAGATCTATTTTAGGAGTACACCAAAACAAAACCTACAAATCCAACAATATCAAATAGTTTTGAGATACTCATTCTTCCCCAACATACATAATAAAATAATAAGTAGAATGAATTACCAAAATCGGGTAAAATGGTTCACATATAAAAAAAAATGTACTTCCAATATCCAAATGGATTAAAAAAAGGTTTAGAAAATCGATAAGTTCATAAACCGTTTCAAAAGAAATAAATACAAACTCTAATTACATTAAAATTAATGATCTAAAAGTTTGTTGCCCCGATGTCACATTATCATAGCATTCCCATGACTCAACTATTGACATCTTGAATGTCGCTCATGTTTGGATCTTCCTCACCTAAAAACAACCAATCATAAATTTCACAAATATTAAGTCAATATATTTTATCATCACATCCCAAATCACACAGATACACAAATCATTCATATCCACCATATCACACAACCAGACCATGTCATGCTCACGCCACCGTTGTCGCATCACACA